CTGGTCCCGGTGTGTTTCCCCCCCCCCCCCAACTACCCCAGTTGTCCCAGTATGTGACCACCTTTGGCTCTTCCTTACAGCTGTAAGTAAACCTGGCTTAGCCTTGCCACCCCCTGCCCTCCTCCCCCCATCCAACAACCTGCTGTCTGCATCACCACGGGACAGACAGGGATGGACATGCACATGCACACGCACATCTCCCCACACACCGCGTACAAGGGCTGGGACAGCCCCTCTCCCAAGCAGAGGCACCATCCCAAGGGCTCAAGGTGGTGGTGACATTGGGGAACTGTTGCGGGGGTGGCACAATGTTGAACTGGGGTCATCAGCCCCTAAGGGAGGCAGGCCAGATGCTCAGCTACCATCAGGGCTAGGCCGTCTTCAGCTAGATGGCAGCAATAACTTGCCTTGCCTTCTTTCCCCCACAAAAAAACCTAATTTCCTGCCCTTTTGCCCTGGCTGGCAAGGAGCTACAGGGCCTACCACGTCCCTCAGGCCTGCCCAGGCCACACCAAACAGCCTCAGGCAGTGCCCACGTGCACCCACTGGCACTGCAGCACTACAGCCAGGGGCAGGCCAGTTGCCAAAAAAAAAAATTAGATAAAAGCAACCCCCCTACCTTTGTCAGTGTCCCTCCCAACAGTTCATGCAACCTCTTGGAAAGAGATGGCCCACCTTTGGGCATCAAGCCAGCCAGGGCTAGCCTGAGCTGGGGTGGGCAGAGCTGTGGGTGGGGTGCTTTGCCACTCAGTCCTGGCACACACTGATTTGGATGGGGGGAGGGGGGATACTAGCCCATCCTTTCACAAAGTCACATGCCTTCCCCCCCACACCCAGCAGTGCCAGCTGTCTGGTTCAGATGGGGCAGGGGCTTGGGCGTTTCAGTTTGTCCTCCCCACCCATGCAGCCTGAGCAGCAGCCAGTGATGCCAGAAGCTGAGCACCTAGTGATGCCAGGACGCCCCTCCAGGCCCCTTGGCTGGGACACTTGCTGTACATTGGGTGTCATGTCTGTGTGTACCGCCAGGGGCTGCTGGCCCCCTACGCTGGGCACAAGCACCAAGGACAGCCCCATGGCTCAATGCATAGGCCCCTAGGGTAGTGCTGGGTGCAGGGCACAGAGCTGGCTGGCGGATTTGTTTTCTGCATGTCTTTGGCAGCGGCTCTGCAAAGCTGCAGGAGAACTGAGCTCCATCATCCTGCTGGATTGGGGGGAGGGTTGGTCAGCTGGGAAAAGGCACAGAGGACCACCCCGCACCGCCCAACCTCAGAGGCTCCCTCTGTACCCACTGCTGCAGGTTTTTGTGGGGTGGGGGAAGGCCCCTTCCCTGCAGCTTTCTGGGGTGGCGGGGGGGCACAGGCAGCAGGGCTGGGAAACAGGCAGCAGCTTTATTTACAAACGGGGCCAGAGCTGTCAGGCATACAAAAGGGCGCTCCTCTGAGACCTTGGCGCTTTCTCATGCTAGGCGAAAGCTAAAAATGACTCCATGGGAATTTACTGGCAGGCAGCAGCCAGAGAGTGGGAACAAGCAAGCGGCCCGTGGGGGGGCAGAGGGGGGTGCGGGAGCCGAGCGGCCTGGTACAGCGCCTGAATGAGCAACAAGTGTTCCCCATGCCGTTTGCTACCGAGCACAACGCAGACCTCAGTGCCCGGCTGAAGCGGGGCCACTGTGTGGCCACAGCTGCCCGGGCAGCTGGCTGGGCCCTGGACAGTTGAGGATTCACCTCGGCTGGCGTCACAACCAGCGTTGGCTTCCTCAGGGAGGGGGACAGGGGAACAGGCCACCGTGGTCTCCACTTGTTTCACCTCTGGAGAGCCAGAGTCCCTCCAGACCCCCTTTGCAGCACCCCCCAGGCCTGGGAGGGTCATTTCGATTGCTTGCTCGGGACCTCTCCACTAATGGCTCTGAGCCCAGCAGGCAGGAGCTGCTCCTTGAAGCCGCACTGGGGAAAGGCGGACCAAGAGGCAGGAGCATCAGAGATTGACCAAGAGACAGAAGCATCAGCCTGATCCTGCTTCTTGTCTGTCCCAGGCTTTCCTGCCTGTCTCCACACACCGGGCACTGCTCACACTGTCCCGGGCATGGGGGCCTCCCCACTGCCTGGTCCCATAGCAAGTCCTTGAACCTTCTTGCACGCCCTGTGAATGCAGGCGCCAGCAGGTCTCACAGGGCAGCAGCAGGGTCTGCTGCATGGTCACCACTACTCTGCTCTCAGCAGACCTCCTGCAGGCTTGTCTCAGACCTGCTTGGGCACCCACTCTGGCCGGGCTGCAGCCCCAAGCCTGCACCTCTGCCCCTCTCTGCCCCAGGAATATGCCCCGGTGCCAAGGAAGCATGTGAGTAAACCCCAGTGCTGCTCTGCACGGTGAAGCCAACTCCTTTGCCTCCAGAGAGGGGGCGAGAGGGTGAGCCTGTGCCCCATGCCTTGACACATGCCCACCCCAGGTCCCCTGTTCACAGCTGGCGTTGCCCTATGTGTCAGGCCTCTCTGATGGGAGAGGCTCCTCCTGGCCCAGGGAGTGATGCCTACAGACCTGCTTTGCAGCATTGCTGCATCCCAGAGCTTTTTAGCACAGGGAGCCAAGCCACAGGGGCTGTTCCCCCTGCCCACCTTGCCCCCACGCTCCCACCCTTTCAGTTCCAGGCGCTGCCCTTTCTCCACTCATGCCCACCCCGCACACCCTCCCTGCCTGCCCGGGCTCAGTCCGTCAGCACCACTAGCTCCCCATCGCTCTTGTCCTCGACCTCGGAGTCCTCCTCCTCGCTGTACCGGTACATCTCGCCATCCGCGACTGAGTGCCTGTCCTCCGTGCCGTCGGCCTCCTGGGCTTTGAGGCTGCGCGTGTTGATGATGACGGGCATATTGGGGTCTGTGCCACGGGGCAGGTAGTGCTCCATCAGTGGTGGCGTCAGCTGCAAACCCACTGGCCTCGGGTACAGGACATCTGAGGAGGTGGCTTGCATCTGGCTGCTTTGGGGTCTAAAAAGCAGGGGGACATGGTCACCTTGGTTGGGGGTGAGAGCTGGCTGGCACGCAGAACTCCCTCCCCCAGGGACAGTGCTGACACCAGCTGGGGAGAAAATAGCATCCTGGGCAATTTCCCAGGGAAAATTCAATTTTCTGCTGGAAAAAAAAAAAGAACTATTCTGACCAAAAAAACCTCAGAGGAAAAATAGGACACACCAGGAAAGCCCCAGCAATCTCCCCATGCTCCCACTCCCCTCTATGGGCTAGGCTCCCCCAGCCTACCAGGGTCAAAGGCAAGGGAGGCTATCACATCATGGGACCCCTGGCCCTGTAGCCTGGTGTAGGAGCAGGGTTGGTGGGAAAGCGCACAGCACGGGGCACCTTTCACCCTTTGGCCTCTGTCAGGCACCCCAGTGGTATTGCCACATCAAAGCCTTTTGGTTTTCAAGTGTCATTTTCCAACATGCAGCAAGGCTTTTCCTCAGAATGCAAAGACCATGCATGAAGGGCTGTTTCCATGACTCAAACCCTTCTTTGTACACTAAAAAAAAATCCAGCTAGGGTGGGACATTGTCAGTCAGCCTCCTGTGCGGAGGGGGTGAGAGGGGTGGCAGGGGAGAAACCTCATGAAGGGACCATAACCTTCTGCTCTTCCTGACCCCACATCGCCACCTCATAGAGGACACCAGGCGCCAGCAAAGAGCTGGCTGCTGTGCCCAGGTCCCATTCTGTTCATGTCATAGAGTCCCTACTGCCAGCAGCTAATGGGGATTCTCCTTGATGTCCCATTGCTCCAGCCTCACACCCCACAACTGAGTGAGGTGTGCAGCCTAAACATGCCTGGAAAGCCCCAACCCACCTGGAGCTCTCTGGGCCTATTCTCACCTTGATACCCCTGCCCCTCTCCCCCATGCAGCTTTGTCATGATGCAGCGCTGCCCGTCACTTCCTGTTCAAACGTCCACCCACTTTTGCTATGCGCTGCTCTCTGCGCTCTGCTCCCAGACGCAGGGAGAACCCCGCATGCACCCACATGGCTGGGAGCCTTACGCTATCAAGAAGCCCTGCCTGGCATCCTGCCTCCGGTTCCTCATCAGGGCCTTGTACTCGCCCACGCGAAGCCTCTTGCCCTCCACGATGCAGGTGCGCTTGGGCCGCGGCTTGTACTTGTAGTCTGGGTACTTCTCCAGGTGCTGCCGGCTCAGCCGCGCCTGCTCCTCGTAATAGGGCTGCTTCTCCTGGTTCGTCATGGACTTCCACCGGGACCCTGCAATACAATATTGGGAGTGGATGGGGGCAAGATTTACAGACTGCCTGAGCTACCTTTGAAACTCCCACCACAGCCTTGGCCACCGGGAAGAACCAGCAGCAGACAGGGCTGCTGCGACTGCTAACGCTTGAGCTGAAAGAGTGCTGGCAGGTAGAAATAGTAGGTTATTGTCCTACTGCTCCAGTTGGATGCCTCTCAGACTTCGCACTGTGTAGCCCCTTCAAGGCATCACCTGTTCAAACTTCACAGGCTTTGTGGCCACAACCAAGTTGGAGGGAAGGGTCTTACCACTTCCCAAAACTCCTATGAAAGCAGCATAGATGTGTCTGCTCTCCGCTGCTGAGCCTGAACAGCAGCAAAGCAGGTCCCACAGTGGGAATACTCGCCGTGCTTTGCTAACATTAGTGATACCTGCTGCATGCCCATTTCACAGGTGGGGGAACTGAGGCACAGAGGGAAGGGGTGATTTGCTTAAGGTCCCTACAACAAGTCAGCATGGGAGCAAGATAACACAATCCAGAGGCACTGAAATACGAGTGTCCACACAGGAGCTTGCGTCAACTGAAAACTGACCCAGCGTTCCCAGGTCAATTTGGGTGCCCAGGCGCTGCTGTGATAAACACATGCAAATGGCATTTTACATTTGCATACAACCCATGCAAACAAGCTGTACCACCCAACCTGAGTGATTTGTCCCTGATTGGCAGGTGCAGAGTTACTGGCAGGTCTCAACAGGGACAAAGCCATCACAAGTGACATGGCGGGGATCTCCCAGACATGCCAGGGGCCCATTCCCATTGAAATGCAGCCATCCAGGCCTCGCTCCACCTGCCCTGAAGGAGACCCCCTCCCCCAGCCCTGACCTTTCCTGGTCACCTCTCTGTCCTGTACTTCTGCTTCATTGTCCTCATGAAAGGTATGGCCAGCAGGTGCAGCAGCTAAAATAGACCGGCCTGCCATGTGATGTGCAT